TAAACATAGCATACGTAATAGTTAAATCAGTATTATTAGAAAAGTCAGCTTTTTTGTTATTAATATCTAAGTATACAATTAGATATAACCATTGAGTTATATGTACTACGTACTAGAGAAGCCATTCCGAACATTGACTATCACAGTTGACTATGTTCAACTGAACTGTAGTGCAATCCCTACAAACTAAATATTGCGTAGATTGAAGATTTGTGAATTCCATAAAAAAATTATCATTACATTTTATTTAGAAATATAACCTGTTTGTTTAGATGAAATGATGATATTTTATATTAAATTCTTATATTTATTTTATATAAATATCTTATTTTATATCAAATTAACGTCTTCGCGCATGCGCGACTACTACTCCCGCGCTTGCGCGAATACATAGAGTAGGACACAGTTTTTGTTTGAAATGGCTTCTCTAGTACGTAGTACATATAACATCATAAATAAAGTATGTAAAAATTTAATTCGTGTTTTATTTTTCGCAGTAATTGGCAAGCGGAAGCGAACTAGTTTTACCTATTTAGGAAAATATTATCTTATACTTAGATAACACTGGATAACATTTATTTCGGTCAAAATTAACAAATAATAAAAAAAACATAAGTTGAAACATGAAGATTCGAGAAAAAAAGAGGCGCTTCATAGATTTCGCACACATGCGTTGTGAGGGGTCGGTGCGGCCCTGATAAGACGGCAGTTCAACCATTTTAAGCAAAATTTAACAATAAGACAAAACGCATTGTTTTTTTAACAGGAGACTTGTTTTCCAGAAATTTATTAACAACTTGACTTTGTAAGCGATCGCAATGAGTGCTATTATCTATTACTTATTAGACTATTTTTCCACATCATGATTTTTAAACCCACAAAGTAAAAAGAGTACCATGTAGAATTTAAAAAAATGTTGGCAACCCTAAACATTTCAAATTCTCAAAATATCCAGAAACGAAGCTGTAGGCATGAACTACTTGCAAAATAATGAATATTTTGTTCTGGATAAATATTCCAAAAATGAGATTTGAGCGATTTTTAAAGACACGACTCGCGTGTCATACGCTATACACAAAAGTAATACCGATTACCTTATATATATATACTCTGCATCTTATAAATAAAAGAAAAAGTCTAATTGCCGACAAAAACGACAAACATAATGTGAAAGAAATAACTGAGTTAAGTAAGAAAATAAGAGAAGGCATACGCAAGGATAGGAAAGACAGAAGACTAAAAACATTTGAAAAATACATCATTGCTTCAGGCGGAACAAAAAGAGCTCTTAAAGAACTCCGTGAAACCACTTCCTGAATACCTAATCTCAAAAGCAACAAAATTAGCATCACAAACCGCAAAAGTATAATAAAAACAGCATCTGATTTTTACAAGAAGCTCTATTCCAACCCAGATATTACCGAAAGTAAAAAGTGCGAAAAATGCGAGACGATCATGTACCCTCTAAACTTAGAACCAGAAATATTACAAAGTGAAGTCAGGAAAGCTATACTAAGCCAAAAGTCGGATAAGGCACCAGGCCCGGACAAGATCACGAACGAACTACTGAAAGGAACACTAAACGAACTCGTGCTTGCTCTGACAAAAATCTTCAACGATATCCTAATATCAGAACAGATACCTAAAAACAATGGGAAACCTCGCACATCTTGTACACAAAAAGGCTCAAAAGAAGACTTATCGTACTACAGACCAATAAGCCTGATGTCGAACATATATAAGGTCTTCTCCAAGATCATAGAATTTCCAAGATATTACTACATCGAATAAGCATTACATTGGACGAAAACCAACTAATGGAACAGGCTGGATTTCGGAAAAATTTTGCAACGATAGACCATATACACACAGTTAAACAAATCATAGAAAAGCACAGTGAATATACGAGTAACAAACCAGTGTACATGGCCTTCATTGATTACACCAAAGCTTTTGATAGCATTAAACATGAAGCGATTTGGGAAAGCTTAGAAAAACAGGGAGTATCCAGAGCTTATATAAACATCATTAAAAAACATATGCTAACTGTAAAGCAAGAATACAAATGGAAACACTTGGAGAAATATTGAGAATTGAAAGAAGTGTCAGGCAGGGTGACCCACTGTCTCCGAAGTTATTCTCCGCTGTACTTGAAAACGTATTTCGAAAACTGGAATGGAACGAATTTGGATTAAATATAGATGGAAGAAGACTAAATCATCTCCGATTTGCAGACGACATTGTCCTGTTCGAAGAGAACCCTCACAAACTTGAACAAATGATACAAGACCTATATAAGGAAAGTGAGAAGGTCGGGCTGGCAATGAACGCAAGCAAAACAAAGTTACTATCAAATTCAATCCCATATGAAATAAAAATCAATAACCAACCTCTCGAGTATGTAGAGGAGTACATATATTTGGGACAAATAATCTCACTAATGGATCTAACTACCAAAGAAATCAAAAGGAGAATAGCCAATGGATGGAAAAGATATTGGTCACTGAAAGAGATTATGAAATCTACAATTTTAGTAAAAAAATTATGAGCAGGGTCTTTAACACCTGTATTCTCCCATGCCTTACTTATGGCTGCGAAACTTGGGCACTTTCTAAGCAGCACAGACATATGCTCGCACACTGTCAAAGAGCCATGGAAAAGAGCATGCTAAGAATCAGAAAAATAGATAAGCAAAGAAACACATACATAAGAGCAAGAACAGGTGCGACAGATATTCTCACCAAGTTAGACCAAATGAAGTGGAGATGGACGGGTTATATGCTACGAAGCCCCCAAGATAAATGGAGCAAAATAGTGACCGAATGGTACCCCAGAAACGGGAAACGAAATAGAGGTCGACAACGCAAAAGATGGAGGACAAATTAAAATTTACAGTGGGTTATAACTGGAGAAGATTTGCAAAAGATAGAGAACAATGGAAATCGTTAGAGGAGGCCTTTGCCAAGAGGCACACCGAACTCAGAGACATATTATAATAAAACTGAATAAGATAGGATTATTTGTTTCGGCATATAAAGGCTATATTATTATTATTATATAACATTAAATAATATTTAACATTTGTAAATATCAATGAATCATAACTTTTTTTTTCAAAATTAAGGTTCTTGATTGCTTGATATTTACAAATGTTATAATTGGGTGTAAATTTAATTTAATAAAAACCAAGGTTTTTCAGGGTCATTTAGCTGTACTTACTTATATAAATGATTTTTTTTTATTAAACAAAAAGTAGTACAAAAGGTTTGAATCTCTGCATAAAAAAGTCACTTACTCTCAATTTCAAAGAAAACACGTAGTTACCCACTAAAAACAAGTATCCTTCCGTTTGTAACTGATGTTTGATGTCAACTATACTTAATTAGGTCTAAACAAGTGAAAATAGCATAAAAAAGAAAATTATTTTTACACATGGCTGATGGCACAATAGGCGTGTCATCAACTTCTGTGGCGCTTGACATGCCAGGCGTGTCATGAAATATTTATTCGCCGCCACAGCTAAAAGTTGTCGAAAACCGGTGCCGCAACGAATCGGTTAGGCCGTATACAGAAAGAAAGCTGGCAGCCTATCAGCGCTTATATGAACAGGCGACGATAAGCGCCGACAATCTTCGACACGCGTCGGTCAGCGCTGGCGCTGCCCGCCATTTAAAATTAATGAACAACTATACGACAACACGTACAACTACGACACGCATATATTTTGTTAAATAGAGAAATGAATAGTGACGTGTTGATTGTACGGAAGACGGCATATCAAGGGTAACACTTAGATACTTTTTAAAATCGCTCTTATCTATATCTATACAAATAAATAAAATTGAAGTGTCTGTTCGTAATATGAAAATTACAACGTTTTACTAAATGCATATGAAAGTATAAACAGTACCTATAACAAAATACACTTTTTTAAATTTTTGTCTGTCTGTCCGTCTGTTTGTTCCGGCTAAACTCCGAAACGGCTGGACCGATTTTGACGGGACTTTCACTGGCAGATAGCTGATGTCATAAGGAGTAACTTAGGCTACTTTTATTTTAGAAAAATAATTAGGGTTTCTCGCTAAAAAATTAAAACCCTAAATTACACGCGGGCAAAGTCGCGGGGAACAGCTAGCTACAAAATAATAATGTCGGTACAAATCTCAGTGTTACGCTTGATCTGCTATTGAATGTACAAGTGTATATTTAAACCACGTTAAAACCTTTTTTAATTCATCTAATTTCAATTGTTTTACAAATAAATGATGGTATTCTTCGAAACGATTCCTTTCTCTATTAATAGGATGTATAGCTTATTTTGGCATTTTAAAATACACATTTTCTAACAAAACTAATTCATCGTCCGACGAGTACGACATTTTGCTCGCTCTGCTTCAATCGGCTTGCTTTATGTAACTGTTACCAGAATAGACCAGCGCCGATAAGAGCTGGTAGATCGGCGCCGCCTACCAGCTTTCTTTCTGTATACGGCCTTACAATAACTGTTTCTCATTAACATGCATTACCTATCTGTATATGTAAAAAAATATACCAGATTTCAGCATACAATAACAAAAAATTAACATTTCTAAATAAGTTTCGGTTTCGGCCGAAACTGACACCCAGACCAGACCTAAGCTTCGTTTTCGGTTGAAAATTCTGTTTCGGTCGGACACTACTAAAAAGATACATGCATATAAGCCTTAGTGACCTATTAAAAAAAGGCTGATCAAGGAAAACTTTTTATTTTGATCACATTGGACTCAAAAGCTGTTAGTATTCTGTAGGAATTAAAACAAAATATTAATAGTAATATCAGTTTATTGATCTCACAATCAATAATTCATTGTACCCTTTAAGTCACATCAGCTAATAGGAATGACAATACAATTCTTTCAAAAGTTGGATGGACACATGAATGTGATGTCTTAATTATTAAAATACATCAAAATGCTGGAATATTTAAAACTACAATAATTTTTATTAATGGCATTATGCTTTTAATTAGACTTCTTGGAATCTTTGGATGCAGATCGTGATCTGGACCGTGACATGGATCTTCCCTTGGAGCGAGAGCGGGAGCGGGAACGACTGCGTGAACGGGATCCAGACCTTGGCGAGCGAGAACGAGTGCGACGACGAGACCTTGATCGGCTGAAATCATTCATACAATATAAATTTCAAATATATTTTAAAATTGTTGTGTCTAATCCATGATTTAAGCCACCGTTATATAATTTGAAATCATATAACATAGATGGCTTAAATTTGTCATTTACATTATCAACATGCTCCTAATTTTTTTTAACTAATAAACATTACTCATTAAACAATTAAATATTATACAGCGTGCGCCAGAAAGAATTAATAATCCTGGAGCGCCTATACAGGTATCACTACTTCTTAGAAGAGCTTTTATTAGAAGATATCGAGCTTGTATCATAGTCCGTGGGAGACAATTTGAAAACCTGTTATGAAATAAAGATTGATTTATGTACAACTTAACCCTTTTATTATGACAATTTAAGACAAGATTATTTTTTCTTTCTTCAGTCAAATTTATTCTTTTTTAATCTCAATGTTAAATAAAATTATGTATTATACCATTTTGTGAACTGTATTTAACTACGAATATATTTTAATAATTGGCCATTTAGGTCTTCATACTTTTTTTTTAACATATGGCTCTTAAACTTTTGTCAAAATTATTTTTTCATAAAGAAGGATGCCCATTTTTCACCTGACTATGTATAGAAATGAAATAAATCTTAAAATTCAGCTAATTAAATTCTAAATTAAATACGCGTATCACAATGTTAAAAGAAACGCAGAAGAAAAATATTTTTAATATTTATGTATGCTTATTATACGTCAAGGATAAACTTATTACCGCCATATTTTGACGTATCTCAACTACCCTTTTTCTAGGACGTTCCATTTCCCATACTTCGCATTTCGCTACTTGACTTAATTGAACTCTAGTTTCTGAGTTTTAAACATTTATTTTATAATTAATAAGTATTTCTCTATATTCTTATATATATATTTCTTTATTACTTTTTGTATAGTACAGATTAATTAGAAAAATATAATAATTAAATCAATTAATAATGCAGTATGTCATTGAGTGCACACAAGTGAAACGGATTTTTTTGACATTTAAGTTCTACGACTGGCATCGGCGCAGTTCTCACCTCCATTGTTGCAAAAGAAAATATAATTACTTGTTGTGTTTGCGTCTCGTTGTGTATTGTCCCATTTTGTGTGTTTTTCATTGATCATATAGAATAGAAATATGTAGGGATACACAAGATTTTTCTCAGTATAATCTTAGAGGAAGTGGTGATAGAACATTAATAAGAGATAGAAAAATTAAATATTTAGTAACAGCAAATCCTAACCTAAAGAGTAACATTAATATTTTTGGGCTTCATAGCGTTTAAATTGTAAAAATGTCTACATGACGTTATTTTCTAAACTTACAGGAAGTTTCTCTACTATACCTTATAACTATACATAAACTTTTATTTTCAGGTTTTTAAATGTATGAAAAGTGGGCATGGTTCTTTCATGCTAAAAATTGAATTTCATTAATTTGCAGCAGTGGTGTACATGAAAGTACAGTAAGGTCAATAAAAACATATTTTTTTTAAAACCTTCATATTTTTGGCACCACTTGGAATATATATTTTTTGTATTTTCATTTGAGCGCCTGATACCTATACTATTAGGCGCTTTAGGATTATCCATTCTTTCTTGGACACCCGATATATGTATTAATTCTCAATTACTTAAAAATGATAAATGGATTAGACACAAGTATATATATATATATGCGAAATACCACTGACTGACTGATCATCACAAGATCTCTAAAACTATACACCCGATTGATTTGAAATTTAGTATAATTACGCATTTCGCAATAAAGATGCTCACTAAGAATGGATTTTACGATAATCCCTGATCAAAATTCATAGGTTCCGTAATAAAATATCGTGCGCCCAGCGAAGCGAGCAGGTATCAGCTAGTATTATATAAGGTGCTAACAAAGTGATCAACTAATTAAATTCACATTACTCTAATTAAGAGACCTAGCATATCTAATCATGCCTCTTCAAAATGATGACAACTTGAAATCTTTATATCCTATGTGTTATCGGTGGTATCTGTCACATTATGTCTACAGTTAACAGAATTATATATTATAACTGAAAATAAGAATGTATAAACACAGCAGGCCTGCTCTGAACACAAATATGGGATATAAATGTGTAACTCACTGAGTGCACGCAGTGATTACAATAGACGTGTGTCGCGATGCGCTGAACAAACATTATGCTCAATGTAGTTCTCGAAAAGTGAAGTGTGCACGTAGGTCGTCACTACGTAGTTCGCAGAGCGAAGTTACTGTTGCCAACTTTAGCGGAGTACACGCCGCGAAGTGAAAGCTACGTAGCGCAGACAATAAGAAGTGCAGACACTGAAGAGTTCGTTCTCGGCGCACAGGCCAATGATAACCTATAACATAGTTATCATTGGTTTATGTGGGTCCAAAACAATGGAATGGAATCTTTACTTACATCAACCTCAGGTAATATGACACAATTTGTTTTTGGTCATGTCCATAAAATAAGCTGTCATACAATTTTTTTAACTAAACATTTGAGGCAAAGTCACCTCATAAAGATTCCATACCAAAGACATATCCATAATTTAAAATAAAATCTGTGTTACCTGCGACGGCGACGGCGCGTGCAGTCCCTAGCATAATGTCCACGATCTCCACAATCATAACAACGATCATCGTACGGTCGTGGAGGCAGACGTGAACGTGGTGGCGGCCCTCGGCCATATCCTCTGCTTCCATTCGACATTTCAACACGAGCACGTCGACCACATATTGTTCTCCCATCTAAGCCTCTAATCTAAAGGAAAACAGGAAATGGGAAATGCATAGTTATTTTATAATGTTGAAGTTAGGTAAGCAATGTGTGTAGAGCAGCTCCCCACTAGATGAAGTGACAACCTGATAATATGCAGGACACCGATGGCGCTCACATTTAGATTAGAAAAGTTAGCACTTCCAAATAACTACTGTTTGAAAGATCTACTTTTTAACATAATATGTGTACAGTTTTTAGTAGTTGAAAACTTCTAGTTTTAGATGGAATTAAGAACAAATTTATTACAATTTTTCTTCATAATTCTTACTTTATGAAATTGCATTTTATTTATTAAAGTTGTGTTGAGATTTCATAAAATTAAATAATTTTAATCTTTTTGTACTGTAATTGCAACAATAAAAAATAAGTAATTGTTACCAAATTTTGAAAAAACAAATTTTGACTGACAAAAACAGTCAAATATATTTTCAAGTAAAGGGTTTGATCAAAAGTAGTTTTCACTGAAAAATATCACTTAAAAGTAGTTATGAACAAGACTAGTAGATAAAGTAACTTTTGTTTTGTTACCGCCTATTAAAGTTCACTTGCTTAACATAGGCCTCCCCCATATATTGCCTCATAGGAGGATATTTGCCATAGCAGTCACGCTTGGCAAACATGTTGATAACTGCACTTTTTTTTAACCAATGGTATTTGGTAAAGGGGTTTGATATTTTACAAAGCATTTATTATTACCAATTTTAGGACAAACCAGTTTTTGAGAATCAAAGTGCAGAGCAGTATAACTTTTGAGAAAAAAAGTTATTAATATTTGAGATTGTAAAATATCTGTTATTAAGGGGTGGCAGACAATGGAAGGAGGAAAGACTACAATTGAATTACAATTTCTACAATTTGATTTCCACCAAGGGAAATCAAATTGTTGAAAGCAGATCTTAATCTGCCACCAGTGGTTGTTCAAAAAAAAAGAAATATCCTGCCACTAAGTGCAAACAGTAGACACTTTCATGTTTTATTTTGCTATCAACCATACTTTTTAAATGTGTAATTATGGCAATCGATATGGAATATGGATTAACCCTATCTAATTCCATCATAAAAATATGAACCCAATAATTGTTGCTGCCATTTCTAGAGCTGGTTGTTTTCCTAAGCAAACTAGTTAATGGCCCAAAGGCCACCCCAAAGTTGCTAACATCATGCATAGGGGAAATTGGTATGTCCGAAAATTGGGATTGAATGGATAGTGCTTTTGATGGTACGACTTTCCATTGACACCCGTCGAGTTGGGGGTTGATACGTATTTTTACAGAAAGTTACACTATTATAAGCACACACACAAAGTTACAACATGCAGAAGCACGTAATTTTTGAGAAAAAAGTTTTTGATAATCAATTATTCTTGCATTGTTTATATCTAATCCTACTATAAAACTGACACTATTTTTTATTGTTATTGTCAGTAGGGATGTCGATTCTTTCCGAAAAATATCGATTTTTTAAATAGATTCGAATTGTATGCTGATGTATCGATTCCCAAAAAATCGAATTCTAAAATATTTATATTTTTTTCATGTTTACATTTATAATGTAAATATAAATCCATTTTATGAAAAACAAGAAAGATACCATAATAAATGATCTCTTATTGATATTTGTTTTATTTTAACAGTACCAATTAGGGCAGATAACAAATAAAATAGGTTAATAATCGCATCTCTATAACTGAAATAACCTCTATTCTCACCTCTATTAAAAGAACCCTCTTTAAATGAGACAGATATTTATTTATACCTGGACATCTGAGACACTGGGTAATTGGAATACCTCTTTAAGTGAGACAAATTTACAGGTCCCTTAAGGTCCCAGATAACCAGGTTTCACTGTATATAAATTCTGTTGTTTTAAGAAAACAAAAATTCCACTGTATGTAGTAATTTTTAAAGGTTAGTAACACTACCCTGCCCTGAACCTAAGTTACCAACTGGCATGAAGGTCTTCGAAACCAGGTCATTAAATAAACACATTTGAAGACCCAGGCTTGCCCAAATGCCATAAGCAAAATTAAAGACCTAATAAAAAAAATCGGCATGGAGAAGAGTTGTCTTACTGTGAGTTCAAACTCTGATAATTCATACAAAATTTGTCATTCATACCAGTCTCTGGAGTGACCACCATAAACTGGTTAAGCGGGAAGTGTAATTCCCGAAGTTGTACAATATAGCATACAAATATTTAACTATAGTGGTCTCTGTACCATCTGAAATATTTTTCTCACAAGCTACGCAGCAGAGGAGATTGCAAGCCAAGAGTAAATAAAATTTTGTTATTACAAGGTTTAGTTAAGAAATATTAGGACTGATAAAAATAAACTTGATTAGTTACTTTGGCTGTTTTGACTTATTAACTCATATTAAACTGTTTCCCCTTTTTTAGATATATATAAATTACAAGCGATATTTTTAAAATATCGATATTTTCCATCGATATATCGCAAACTATCGATACACTATTGCGACATATCGGAAAATATCGATACTTTTGGTACATGAACATCCTTAAGTCCATTTTCCAATCTCAATAGTAAGGAATAGTTAATTAGTTAATAAAAACTTTTTCCGGCGATGGATAGAAGAGGTTCAGGAGTCAAGACCGTGTTTTGTGTAAATTTCATGGGGGACGCCTATGTAAAGCATTGGACTCTTAAAGGGCTATAATGGTCACGATAATGATGATGCAGTTATCATTCCTTTTACTTACTGCATCTTCCGCGTCACGAGGATCTTCAAATTCCACAAAAGCAAAGCCAGGTGGATTCCTAGCTACCCACACGTTTCTTAAAGGCCCATAGTATGAAAACGCATCCTCAAGTTCTGGTTTACTTGCGTTATTACCTAAATCACCGACATACACCTTGCAATCACCATAACGCGACATTATCTGTAAAATAAAACGATAAACATAAGTGTTGAACTAATGAACGCCAACGCACATGAGATGGCGTCTCGGCATTTAGAAAAAAAATAAGTAATTTACCGGTATAATTAGTTACTTCATAAACATTTATTAATAATCACACTTTAGGTCAACAAAAAGCAATAAAATAGCTTACTTATATTTTAATAATGAATACTTAAAATTACTGAACTGAATGCACTTACACCGACGCCAAAGTTCACAAAATGGCGGCGACGGCGAGGTGGTGGGGTGGGGTGGCATAGAGATTGTTATTTTTGTTGTTTGGATTCGTCTATCACGGCAGGCATAGGTCAAAGGCCACACAGCGTTGTTTGGTTCGTATTTATTTCACAAAAATCTTCAAAATATGCTGATGGGTAACATTGCGAAGTGCTTATATTTTATCAACGGCTTAACATGGCACGTAGTGACAGAAGTGACTGCTATGGCGGTGCTCTAATTTTAATAAACAGGACCATTCCTTTATCTCTTCATCTTGTACAAGCCAATAAAAATACAGTACCTAGCTATGGACATCACAATTCTATTAAGTTACATTACGGCTCCCACTTCTTAGTGTATACCAGAACTCAATTTAATTCTATCAAGCATTTTTTCGCTTTACATTGTTTTAGGAAACTTAAATAGCCATCATGTTATGTGGGGTTCCCATACAACTGACTCTTTTTCTTATTTGTTACGCAATATTTTCAATGAATTTGATCTTTGTCTTCTAAACGATGGTTCTCCCACCAGAATGTCCTATCCTTCACAGAATACTAGATTCGCAGTAGACTTGTCATTATGCTCTCCAATCCTGGCTGCTATTTAAAAATGTATTTACTGCTTTTCGAAGTATTCTCCGCGAAATTTGACACATTTTTCCATACGATGGAACCAATCATTGAAGCAACCATTCCATTCGGAAGATGGGGTCTCCAAAATGGCCGTTTTGTAGGCGTCCACAGCTTCTTCAGGTGATGAAAATCTCTGTCTACGCAATTTATTCTTTATTTTAGGGAAAGTATAGAAATCATTAGTAGTAGTCGGGGCTGTACGGCGGATGGTCTAATAATTCTATGTTTTCTTGCTCTAAAAACTCTTTTGTTCTGTGTGCGGTGTGAGTACTCGCATTGTCGTGATGGAGGATGATGCGGCGGTTGCAGTTCTCTTTACAGAGTTCATAAACGACCTGTGGTCATCAAACAAATGCTAGCATACCATTCTGCATTAACGATTCTTTGTCCCTCAAGAAGAATAGTCGTAACATGGCCGGATTTGGAGACAAACGTGACCACCATTTTTTTTTGCAACACTCCGTTAACGAACAATTTTTGTTGGTTTTAACTCATTTTCGAACACCCAAACTTATGACTAGTTTTTTGTTTCGGGTTCGTACGCGTATATCCAGGATTCGTCACCTGATACGATGTTGTAAACAGCTTTTCAGGATCCTGCGTGGAGTCTTTCGAGAGTACTGACGCACCAAGTAACGCGAGCCGCTTTTTGGTCTTCACAGAGCGAATGCGGTATCCATCGGGAAAACAACTTTTTTACACCTAATTGTTCATGCAAGATTTTTTTAAAAAAAAAAAGATTATTTTTGTTTGACTCATGCCAATGTCTAAAGTTGCCTGAATTTCGCGGTATGTCACATGTCGATCTTCCTCAATCAGCTTACGCACAGCATCAACGTTTTCTTGGGTGACTGCAGTTTTTGGACGACCTTGACGGGGATCATCACTGAGCTTGACACGTCCACGTTGAAATTCAGCAAACCAGCGATAAATTGTGGTTTTGGATGTGGCGTCCTCACCAAATGCAGAAATCATCCGGTCAACACACTGATTTTGTGTTAAACCACTTCGAAAGTCATAATAAGTCATCGCTCTTGAATTTTCTCGAGTCAATTCCATTTTCTCAAAGACTAAACAAGTTTGACAAAACCTTGTGACAAGACCGAGAATCTTTTTTTAAATAAATAAATGATATTCGATTTTTAAAGCCAAGGACTCTTCAATTAAAAAGATTTTAATATGACAGGAACAATGGAAATATTCCAATCCCGATACTTTTAGTGCAGCCTATGTATAAATGGGCGTGCCTCAGGGCTCAATTCTCGGCCCCTTTCTGTTTCTTGAGTATGTATGTTGTATGTATATGTATTAATCACTTACCTTACATAAAAATTAATAACCATGAAATAGTACGAGTATTATTAGCTGATTTGTTGATGATGCTTCATTAATTTTCAACCTTAAATGACAACTAATATAATATGACGAAGTAAATCATGCTATATTTAAATTAATAAATTCTGTCAGCGTTAGCACTCATCACTCAAGACTTTGACAGTTCATTAAACCAATTAGTCAGAGCTATAGTCAAGCCAAAGACATTTTTTTTTTTAAATGAAGGTAAATATAACTTAGAAACATTACTAAGTTGTTATCCAAAAATAAAAAAATTATCAACAATTAAAATATCGCATTATTTGTATGAAGGTCAATTGAGCGCTAAAGAAACGACGATTGCAAGACGTTTTCCATAAATAAAATGTTTTGAGAAGTTATCAATTACCGTATAGTGGTGTTGTATGAATATCCATACCATCCCGTCGGGCTCGTAAGAGGCGACTTGGGATTATTTTTAAATAACCGTGACCGTCGTTCCGGTTACCAAAAATCATCATGACTGCATAAAGTTGGATAAATACTTGGAACATGCGAACGACTTAAAACGTGACTTTATATATGCATTTTAGATTTAGTATTAGGTTTTATTTCAGTATTAGATTTTTTATTACCTTCCTTACTTAAGGTACGTGGCTATGTTATAAGTTGTATGTTATAAATTATTTACACCATCTTTAATCAGTTTTTCTTTTACTATCGAACTGCGAACAGCAAAGTAGCGAAATTCTCGAAAAAATGTTCTTTACTAAACAAAATTTTAGGGCTTTTAGTGCAGTTTTAATGTGAATTGTGGCTGTAAATCACAAATGATTCATGATAACTAATCGTATAGATTGTATAAATTGAGTATACTTAAAGATTTAGGATCTAAAGCACATAATGTTTAATAATTACGACCGTACTAGATTTTAAACAAAAACCAATTTGTCTTTTACTACCTAATACATATTTAGAGAAACTAGAATTATGCTTTACTACCTAGAAATATGAAGATTTATCTTATACGCCTTCTATCTGGAAACTAAATTGAACTTTACCACTAGTAACAACAGCAAACAGATAATCGAAAAAATACAACCCAACCAAAATTATTAATTAGTCTTTCTCATTTATATAATTTCCGAAAAAGACGAAGCCAGACGACCGACGACCTAGACAGGAGCGCTAGACAGAGACAGAGCTATGTGGAATGTTCTTTGATTACCTTCATTATTTCTGAAATATAAGAATTTCACCTAACCTACGTGATCAGTCAGTGTACCGTGCAAGGTAGATATAAGTTAGATGAATAACTAATTTTAGTTTTAGAAAATGGTATTGATGTCCAACGTCCACGACAGCGAAATCTGACAGTACGAACGGCACATATGCAAAAATACCGATACGAGTACAAAAATAAACATAAATCAAAATATTTATCTTTGTACTGACTAATTTAGTTACCATTAAACAAATACAGCAATTGTTAATGGAATATTTTCCTACAAATTACTGTGTGTATTTTATTTAATTCTGACCTAGAGATTTAGAGTGAATTGATGGTTCTCATACCTAGCCTAATTTGTAGCATTTTGACTCCCTTATCATGTTCTGCCAGGAAGTTGTCGAATTCCTACTAACCCTGTATAATATGGTTTTTAACGGGAGAGTAAATTAATTAGATTTTTGTGTTTGATTAATAAACATCGTTTCATAAATTCGTACCTATGTTTTATTGAGCTAAAATATACCTTATAATTATCAATTACCTAATATTTACAAATACTTACATCATCAAATTAATAACTTAAGTACAATAACGCATAGGCGTCAATTTTACGCTTGGCATAATGGTCAATGAGCGATACGCGCGCTCTATACCTTGCTTATTTGTACTCTAAGTTCTGAATACTCTTTATCTATTGTTCTAAGGGGTCCCTTCTTAATTATTTAAATTATTATATACTCTTTGGAGGGGCTTATAACTTTGACAACTAAATATCCAACTGGATATGTCAAGCTTTGACAGATTAAAAGGCGCTAAAGTGTATGAAATTAACAACTCCCTATTTCAAACATATTAATATAATAGTACTTATGTAATTAATTATGTATTAATATATATATATATATATATATATATATATATATATATATATATATATATATATATAAATTAACAAGCAAGCTTAGAGCACATGCTTTAAAAATATATAAAAATCTTACCAGTGTTGAAACAGCTAAACTAGTTTATTATAGCTATAACAAAATTTAAGTAAATTATTATATTAACTTTGGCCTCTCCTTACATATACAAAATGTAATGTATATATGTAAAAGGCTAGTATAGTGCGCGCAAGATAACTCTGCGCGCGACTGATTTTTTTTTTTGGAGTTTATGGCCTGGTATCTGGACCTTTAGGCCAAATCTTGAGTATTTTTATTCGGTTTATTATAATTTCCCAAATGTATAATTAATTATCCTTCATAGTTCACTGCTTCACAATATGTTAATGCGTCACATTGTGCAGTTCTTGGGAGATTTTGACGGCAACGTGATCCAGCAGACAGCTGACAGTTGGCGATGGTATCTAAAGGCGCCTATGCAAACAAATAGCTAATCTTGAGAATCCATCACCATCAGAGCACTTGTTTCACTGTTTCCACTAATAGTCTACATGCGTAGACACTTAATACACAAAATCGCACCACTTTTACATATCAAATTCCACTTCAAACCATTATTTAAACAATAATACAGGAGCAGCAAACCGCCGCCGGTCAATTTCCCGCCAAACTCCCTGC